CAATGGTATTCTGGCATTGCATGCTTTAAATTTTTAAGGTCTTTGGAATACGTATTATATTACAAGATGATTAAGATGGTAGCCTAGGCTAGGAGTTAAATGGACAACGGTAAAAATAACCTTCTGTATCTTTCTTTGTTACAGATCAGAAGCCTTGGTCTTTTGTTTCTGATTGATAGGCTAGCAAATTTTATTTGAAGGGACAGTGGATAGAACTTTTGGTTGTCCAAAATAGATGGAATTGACTTTTTTTGCCTCTTAACCTACTTTTTTCATAATCTAAACAAGTTAAAGGAGAACGGTAACATCAGGACTGCTTGTTGTGGTCTTGTTAGGCCTACAAATAACCGTTTATTATTTATTTTGTATTTCTTGAGGTTTGTTCACAACCCGTCACGAGTGGTGGCGAAAAGAGGATCCCGCAATCCACTGGCACGCATTGGGGAAAGCCGAGAAAGTATCACAGTTCTGGCTTGCATAAATGCTGCAGGCACAGCTATGCCTCCCATGTGTGTGGTGAGAGGGAAAACAAAAAGGAGTGTCCTTGGGTTTAACCACGAGGAAGCACCGCAAGGAACTGTGTGGACATGGCAAGAAAACGCCTACATGAATGACGCCCTTGGAGAGGTGATGAGTTTATTCAGGACCTTAGAATAGAGGTTCATTTCCGATATTTTAGATTTTACTTGTACTTGTTCTTGATGACGAAAAACGTACTTGAGTTAATAATTAACACTTGGGATGAATGATTGAGCGGGTGAATGGGATTTTGTTGGTCGGTTGTGTTAATACATGGATGGATAGATGATACAGCTTGCAGTTGCTGACCAAGCTGTGCTCCTACAACCCCCAATTGATTGTATACTGTGTTACTTGATGTCTTATCTTTCCACTTTAAAATGAATTTTATTTTAGCACAGCCAAATCTCTTTTACAGGAATGGTTCGAGCATGTGTTCCTCGAGAACTGTGGTCCAGACAGGCCACAACTCTTGGTATTAGACAGCCACAGCAGCCATGAAGTTGTTGGTTTGTTACAAAAAGCCAGGGACGAAGGCATCCATATAATGGCTGTGCCACCTAAAACAACGGCCCAACTGCAGCCTCTAGACAAAGTAGTCTTCAAACCCCTGAAGACAGCTTATAACAAAGCCTGCACGGAGTTCATGTCAGGTGCACGTAACAACATTAATAAACAGACGTGGCCTCATCTACTTAAAAAAGCCTGGGATGCAGCCATGACAGAGACCCTCTGCAGAAAAGCGTTTGAGGCAACGGGGATACATCCTCTTGACAAGCACATAGTCAACTTCAGCGCAGTAGGCCAAGGAGAGGCACAGACTCAGCATGGTGAAGCTGTACCCAGTAGCAGTAGCATCCCCCAGGATCTCAGCAGCATCCCCCAGGATCCCAGCAGCACCCCCCGGGATCCCAGCAGCACCCCCCAGGATCTCAGCAGCATCCCCCAGGATCCCAGCAGCATCCCCCAGGATCCCAGCAGCATCCCCAAGGATCCCAGCAGCATCCCCCAGGATCCCAGCAGCATCCCCCAGGATCTCAGCAGCATCCCCCAGGATCCCAGCAGCATCCCCCAGGATCTCAGCAGAATCCCCCAGGATCCCAGCAGCATCCCCCAGGATCCCAGCAGCATCCCCCAGGATCCCAGCAGCATCCCCCAGGATCCCAGCAGCATCCCCCAGGATCTCAGCAGAATCCCCCAGGATCTCAGCAGCATCCCCCAGGATCTCAGCAGCATCCCCCAGGATCCCAGCAGCATCCCCCAGGATCTCAGCAGAATCCCCCAGGATCTCAGCAGCATCCTCCAGGATCCCAGCAGCATCCAACAAGATCCCAGTAGCACCCCCCAGGAACCGAACCAGCCCCCCTGCACATTTCAGTCCACCCTTTTGCCTGGACTTCGAGTGGGATCAGTCAAGGGATATACTTATCGACCCCGAGCCACCACATCTTTGTTGTAACGTGCCAGCAGCAGACATTTCAACAGCAGAAGTCAGCTTACTCCCACGAGAAGAAAAGGATCGGCCCAAAATAGACTTGCTACAGCAGGCAATTTTAATGACTGGCCTCGCTGACATCGAAGGTGAAGATGAAATCACATGTGAAACTGAAACACGTCCTGACATTGCTCTCAGTCCAGATTGGCAACAGCAGCTGAACGACGCATTTGACATCCCGGTCACCTCATCCAAACAGAAGAAAGTGTCAAAGCGGAAGCTGACCTCACACAGGCTCCTTACTAATGATGTCTGCATAGCAACTAAAGTTCAAGAAAGGGAGGCAAAGCTGTTAAAGGAACAACAGGCTCAGGAAAGAAAGCGGAAAGCCGAGGAGAGACGGAATGCGAAGAGTCAAGCACCTAGGCCTACCAAAAGAAAGAAGGGAGGGAAACAGCAGCAGCAACAACAACAAAACCAACAAGAGCAGCAACAGCAACAACAGCAGCAGCAGATGCAGCAGCAGCAGCAACAACAGCAAGACCAACAAGAGCAGCAACAGCAACAGCAGATGCAGCAGCAGCAGCAGCAACAGCAGCAACAGCAGCAACAGCAGCAACAGCAGCAACAGCAGATGCAGATGCAGCAGCAGCAGATGCAGCAGCAACAGCAACAGCAACAACAGCAACAGCAGATGCAGCAGCAGCAACAACAGCAACAGCAGATGCAGCAGCAGCAGCAACAGCAGATGCAGCAGCAGCAATTGCAACAACAGCAGCAGCAGATGCAGCAGCAGCAGCAACAACAGCAGCAGCAACAGCAACAAGACCAACAAGAGCAGCAACAGCAACAACAGCAGCAGTGGAAAGAAATGCAGCAGCAACAACAAGAACAACAGCAGTAGCAACAACAACAGATGCAACAGCACCAGCAGGAATAAATGCAACATCAGCAGCAGCATAGGAGCAGCAGCAGCAGCAGCAGATGACTCAGATGAGTCTACTGAACTTGAGAAGTTAAAGTTGTTTGTTTGTTTTGTTTCATTTTGTTAATGTTTGGGGTTCTTTTTTATTGGGTTCTTTTTACACAATTTGTTGGTTTGTTTTGTTTCATTTTGTTGTTGATTTTTATTTTGTTCTTTTTATTGGGTTCTTTTGAACCTGGTAACCTAATGATAAGAATTCAGCAAGGGCAGCATGTGTTGCACTGAATTCCAGAGTAATAAATTTTGATGATTTACGCCTTGTTTCTTGTTCAATTATTTAACTAAACTAGCACTAACTTGGGCTCTACAGTTATGGCGGTGGAGATGATGATGCGGGTGATAGGCCTAGCCTAGTAATGATGATGCTGGTGGTAGCGGTGGTGATAAAGATGATGACATGATGGTGATGGTGATGATGAAGATGGTAGGGCAATGCTGGTGCTGGTGATGATCATGATAATGAACTAATACTAATTCAGTTGTTGCAGCTGTTACTGATGTTGAGGTCACTGATGCTGCTGTCGCTGATGATGATGTTACTGATGATAATTGTAGCCTAGTGATACTAATATTGTGGAGATTTGATGATGCAGCGAAACCACAGGTGAAAGGACAGGGTAATATGTCTGCCTTACTCAGTCAGTGTATACTAGCCAAACGACAGACCAACTACTTTTCCTTTAATGAAATGAATGCCGTGTGTCAATCAGAAAAGAAATGCTAATACTGAAATGCTGAGGATCGAACCCACGACCTCCTGGACCCAAGCCTAGGCCTAGGCCTAACTACAGCACTGGGCTGGTCCGGGTCTTAGGTGTCGCATTTCCCCCCAAGCGATGTCGAAGTTCCCCACAGTGGTGTCGGAATTGGAACAACCGGTGTCGAAGTTCCCCTCACAGGGGTGTCGGAATTAGAACAACGGGTGTCGAAATTTTGAATTACGCACCCCACACACTTTAAGAGAGGGTTACAATCAACTTGGCAGGCACATTCACTTGTTTTATACAACAAACGGTTTCTCAGAGGTTTCGCCTGGATTGTACTTTACCGGACCACCCGTCTCGGCCCGTGATTACTACGCACGCCTAGCCTAACTACGCACTCATAGTACTCTGCGTGCGGACAAAAGGTAGTTCCGCGGGCGACTTCGCGCACGCACAGCGAAGTCAGCGGCGACTGGCGAGGCGAGCGAGAGGTGGTGGTGGTTGAGAGTGGGCAGGGGATTTAACTTTGGTGGACCACCGTGTATCATACCAACAGTGGGGTGGGGGGGTTCAGGGGGGCTTGCCCCCCTGGAAACTATAATAAAGAAAACACACAAAAATGCGAAACAATAACATGAGCGGACAGTCGTGTTTACATATCAATGGGGGGGTTTCAGGGGGGCTAGCCCCCCTGGCAACAATAATTTAAAGACACTCACACACACACATATAAACAATAGCATGATAAGTCGCGAGCAGGGCCAATGGGGTTGCAATTATGCAAATGAGCTCTCGTGCGCATCTCTAGCCCTCCATAGTACTTTGCCGGACCAGGAGTAGGCCTAGGGCCTAGGCCAAGCCAGCAGAGTCGCGAGCAAATAAGAATAGTGGACCACGTGATTAGATTGACCAATTAGCCTCAAGGTGTCAGGGTCATGGGTCAAATGGCACAGTGGCACGGTCGTGATGACTGAAAAACCCGGTAAGAGACGGCAGTCGATTGCTGGCAGTTGAAGAGTGAGGACATAGAAAACTGAGTAGGAGAGTGAGTAGGGGAGCTCGGAAACGAAGAACAGCGGACCACTAGGCACCAGTGGCGCCACAGCGAAAGTAGTTCCGACCGGTGGTCCGGTAAAGTACAATCTTACCGAGGTTTCTTCACCATCTGGTGACAGAACCTCGCCGCTCAGTTGATTTTATCCGACTACACAGACCAATGAACACAGCCACAGCAGCAGTCTCAGACCTGCCGGAAGCCCGGAAGGGGTGTCGAAATATGCACCCTCTACCCTAAACTAGATCTAGATCTAGATTTTTCTAGATATCTATGTGCGGGAGTGAAAGAAAAAAAAATTACCAAATAGGCTAATCCTTGAAAAATGTGCAGCAGAGCAATGCACTCAAACTGGCGTTTCGTTTGGTTTCAGTTTCATTCTGTGACAGCCAACATCAACGATGACGAACTTTTTTGTCCCTCCTTACTTGTTATTGTGGTGTGTGTCAGGACTATCAGGCCAGGCTCCCTTGAAGATTTTGCTAAATCTTGGGGGCATCTAAATTTAATCTTTGTTGTGGATTTTTCACTCGTTTTTTTATAGAATAACTGGTTTTGAAAACTATTAGAAGATATTGTGGCTTGTTATCTTCTTGAAAAACACAACTGAACTCAACAGTTTCGAATTTTCCTCCAAATGATTTTGGTTCAACATACTGAGCTTTTGCCAATCTGGCATCTATTCTTCGACTCTTGGCTAACTAAAACTAAACCCGCAAATAGAATACAGTTGTATGCAGTTTAATAACTAACGATCTCTTAGAAAGTCTCTTAAGAGTCTTAGGCCAGGCTGTTATTTTTTTTATTAAATCTCTTCCCAGTTCATAGTTCATGGCATAGCCTAGATCTAGCACAAGCAGTGCACTGCACAGAGACAGAGATAGATAGGCTAGTCTCACTCACTACTGAATGGGATCTCTTCTCGAAGAAGAATAAAGCTGCTGCCTAAAATAACCCGTGTTGTAATGCCTATATGAAGCTAAGTCGCTAAGTACATAGCATACACCACCCACACACGTGTGTTCCTTAAAATAGATACTCAGGTTAGAGTTGTGAAGTAATAATAGATCCTAGAATCTAGATCTAGAGATCTAGAATGTAGATATATCTAGAAGGCAAGCTAAGTCGCTAAGAGTTTAGATCTACTCTTAAGATTGAGACTGCCAAGCGCCCAGCAGAGATAGAATCTAGATCTAGTCTAGATATCTACATCTAAATCTAATATAGATCAAGATATCTAGGTCGCCTCCATGGAGTAGACTCTAGTGTAGAGAAAAATTGTGATGAATCGAAAATCTTCCAGACGTTCAAGACGGAGATCTAGACACCATAATGGTTCAAATACAAATGGAACCAGCACTGCCAGCAGCCACCAAGGAGGAGGCAATCAGTCCCAGTTGGCAACTGCTGGTCTTCCCCCAAATCCCACAGAGTATGATGATGGATTTACTGCTTCAAGTTCAAACTATTGTGCAGCCAATACATCAGAGTCTGCACTTGCTGACTTTGACAGTGCCCAAAAGAAAGCTGGTGAAATTCAAATATGTGATCAAGATACATTTCAGTCAAATGCCATGACTGGGGGAGCATCCATCTCCATCATGTTGGAACATAATGATGATGATAATGTGAACTCAGACTCTTTCAAAAAGAATTATACAGCCATGAAAAGATGTGAAAGAACTTACATCAGCCACCTACCAGATGATGTATTTTTCTTGATTTTTCAGTTCCTACAGCCTGCTGATTTGTGTTGTGTTTGTTGTGTAAATAGGAGGTTTCGTTACTTAGCATCAAAAGACAGTGTGTGGTTGGCACACGCTAGAAAATGTGTACTGGTCCAGCCTGTAGCTGGCTTGTCCAGCCGGATGTGCAGTGTCAAAGAGCTGTGTCGATTTGCGCCGAACTGGAAGAAAGGGCGTTTCAAAGAGGGGTTTTCAGCCCGGCACAGGAACAGGTATAATAACCAATACAGTGGAATCCTGTTATAACGAGAGGGAGGGGACCGGAGCAAAATTTCCGTTATAGCAAGATTCTCGCTATAAGGGATCCAGTAATAAGTTCAAGGGAAACTGTAAAGTAGGCCTAATCTATGAGTTTGGTGTTCTGTGTATTTCCTTAAATTGCTATCTCCCCTGATGACGATTTTGTTTCAACATGACCTCTAGGTCTTATTTGATCAAAAATCGAATCAGGTTTCTTTCTCTAGCGCTAGATCTAGCGATGTGGACTGACAGGTCGGCGTTGGTGACCAGAAAGGAAGGGCTCTGGGCTAACTAACCCGCTGTGTTGTCCCCCACCCCATCACACCCTGTGGTGCATGCCGTCAGCTTGCGCACGTCACTCATTCGCTCCATCCATTACATTGCTGTGACCTCTCCATCCCCGCATCGGAGAAGTGAGAGGCATGGTAGGCCTTGATAATCTAAACTAGGCTTACGCTGGCATATCACACGATGCGTTTTGCTTGTCTGCGCATGCCACACCATCCCTACTCAGTTGCTCCGGCCTTAGTTATTGATGCACATGGGCTCTCCTTTTCTTTGTTTCTCAAGATCACCAACAAATTTTTCAACTGACAAGGTTTTACGTTATGTAAAATTGACCTCTATGCACTGTGCACAGCAGCAGCAATATTTCGCTATAACCGACTCTCATGTTTGTCTGACAGCGCAATAGCAGTATTTTATTTACAAAGGTAAAGAGGAGAAAAAAACGGGGTTTTAGAATTATAGTGTCTTTATAACAGACTTCTCGTTTTTTCCGGACTCGTTATAAGTGGACTCCACTGTATTAAGTAACATTGTTTTTTGCTTTTATTTTAGGGGGGGCTCTTGTGGTTGAGATCAGGTACAGTGTTCGCCTCTAATTTAAAAGGTTTCACATTCGAAACTTGACAGTGACGGAAAAAATTTTCATTTCTTAACTCATTGACGGCGTGCCGGGTCCCGACCCGGCGAGGTCAACAAACTCTGAAGACGCGCCTGGTCCCGAGACCCGACAACTTGTACCATTTTTTTTTTTACCTAAACACTAATATGGAATCTCAAGGGGAATGACTCCCAATGTTAGTCAAACCATTTAACTTTATTGTGGTTGTATCCCTTTGACCATTGGTCCCCCAAATTGTCTGCTATAAGCAATCTACCGAAACACGCTGCTGACCTGACCTACTTTTTACGTAAAATAAGAAACAGAGAACTGCTGGATACTCCTTTCACTACCAAGGAAGCGATGGGGGTTATTGATTCAGGAGACAACAATGCTCCTAGCAATGTCACTATTCTTAGAGATAATATCACTTTGTATTACTTGTTTGAAACCATTCTACTTGACTTACGGTCAATTCTGACATCCATGTGCTTAGCTCATAAAAAAAGTTTTTTTTCACGTTTACGTAGTGCTTTTTCACATACAACATGAGTTTTTGTAAAGATAAATACATTTTATGTAATTATACATGATGATCTTACTTTGTGTCAAATTTTATACCTGTACAGTTTATAGGTTTATCACACTGATTATTTTTTTTTTAATTGGTAAAAATCGTGCGTTTCCAGGGAAATTCTTGGTGAAAAACTTGCATCTTCAATGAGTTAAAGTTTCTCCTTTCACCTTATTTCCTGTTCTCTAGTCCTGTTCTGTCATCTGCTTTCTTTCCTCTCATCTATAGTCGTGTCACGAAGATAGGGGTCACCTGATTTCAGAGGTAAAAGTATCGAAAAAATGGCCGCCAAAGTTTGATGACTTCCAAGGCTTGAGAGTCCTTGGAAACTGAAAATTTACGTTTGTCCTTTTAAGATTAACATTTTTTTGTAAAATCCATATAGAAAATGTGTTTTTAAATGGACTATATAACAAGTGTTGAGCCAAAAATACAAAAACGATTCGATAAAAATTGCCAAACCGGCGGAAAAATTCTGGTTTCTTCCATTTCATTATTTTGACGAGCGCCTGATTTCACAACGATACCTCACATTATAATTTCATCTGAGCATTGTGAAAAGATTGTCAAAATTTTAGCATAATCATATTATCCTTACAGCACCAGGCTCTATTATTTGGCCCTCACTTTCATTTGACCAAGGCCATGCTTTTGTTTTTGACTCCTCTGGCTCAGTTAATTGTCATTGTGTCTATAATTTATTGCAAACATAAAAATTCTAAATTAATGTTTTCGTTTGACTTTTTAGAAATTATAAACATCTTTTGTATAGAATATTTTTCAGAGACATTTGGATGCATATATATATTATAACAGTTCGTAAAAATACTCTTTTCACTGGATTTGAGGTGGTCGGCGCCATGTGAGGGAAACATTTGTGACTGGGCCTGGTGGAACAAGAATTGTGAGAATATATTATACACGTAATGGGCTGTAAGGGTTAAAAAACCATGTGCTTGTCAGATGTACTTCTATTTTTAGCTAAACAATAGATTAACAACCTATGTCTTGAAATTTGTATCAGTCCTGTAAATGTAACAAAATTTCTAAATTCACAAGGTTTGCAGAACCGATTTTTGCCCTGTAGTACTTCAATAACAATTTCGTCTATATAAACTGATGCCCTTCTCATTTTCAGGCTCATTCCATGGGTTCGTAAAGATGAAAATGATCTTTGGTTCTCAAGTGGGAACGTAATACGCTGTTTCAAAACTCAACCTCGAGGATTTCCTACAGAGTGCAGGGACAGGAACTTGGTTGGAATGATGGAAGATGTTAGCAAGTTCACTGTGAAGAAAAACATGGTTGTTGGTGGTTGCCGGTAAGATTGTGAATGACTTTCAACAATTAAAAGTTGAAGAGAAAGTCAAACCTTTAGCCCAGTAAGAACAGTTCCATTTCCAGCCGTAGGTATTGTAGTGTAAATTTGTTTTATTTTATGTTGGACATGGCAGAATGTACTCAAGTGACCCGATAGATTATTTTCTGCTGAATTGTTTAAAATATTAACTGAGGTTCGGCAACAATTTTGAAATAGTCCTGATATGATTCTTATGCTCTGGCCTTTGACATCTGACATGTCTTCAGAAATCCCAGAAAAATCTTTCATTCTCATCTCCTCTTTCTGTATTGTTTACTATTACTAATGATGATTTCCTCACATCTTTCTTTCAAGGGATGGAAGTGTATTTGGATGGGACACAACAGGCTGTCCTTTGTTTCACTTCCAAAATGTACACCGGAGTGAGACGCACTGTGTTGATTTCACTGACAACATTGTCATTTCTGGTGCCAGAGATGGCACATGCAAGGTGTGAACCTACGTGATAAGTTATGTGCCACTGATATGTTAGTATATTGGGTATTTATTAAAAGAAGCTTCTATGGTTAAGTCATAAGTATTTTTTGTGCAGATTTAGCTACTGATCTTCCACTATGTTTATAGTTTAGTTGAATGTCTTTCACCGGACTGGTTTCTAAGAAGTCTTCATTGTCTACCAGTTTGTACAGGGCTGGGAAGGGGGGTTGGGTTAATTTTTGTTGTGACTAACTTTGTACAATCATAATCTTTACCACTGCAAAATTCAAATTTTTATTGTAATTGACACCACAAAAGGAAGCAATCCACCCTCCCACACACTATAATTGTAAATGACACTGTGTTATCTAGGCCAATCAGACGGAACTTACAATAGATTTCTAATCGTAGTAGAACAAGGTCAGTTGGGCAGGGCGGGACTTACAGTGGACCACCCTATCGTGGTTGACTAGCACTGAATTTTTTACACACATACATTTATGATAAATCTAAATTCTGTGTCAAACCAGATCCACTCTCCAAGTTACTGTCCTCAGGTTGATAAGACTTGTAGCTCAAGACCTCAACCTGAAAAACGTCTTTTGAATAATGTTTAGCGGAGGAGGGGATGGGAAGTGTTCGGATATATATGGATGGTCCGAAGAAGTGCAAATCGCCTTTGCGATAGATTTAGTTTCTGGCCAGTGACCAATGGTCGAGATACTTTGTTAGCGGCAAGTCAGTGTTGCTACATATCCAGCTGTCTCATGTAACATTGCGGGCTTTGGACCTTTCTCTTGGAATTATTCATTAGACAACTCATTTGTCAGACCTTGCTCTTGTCAAAATTGTCAGCTAAATTTTCTGTTGTATCTTTTTTAATGCTTTCATGCTGATGTTTTGTCCATAGATTGTATCATTGCATGAAAGCAGTTCAGATGGGTGCATTGTTCAAACTTTTGATGCTGGCGAGAGGGTGTGGTCCTTGGAGATTTCTCCTTGTGAAATGTAAGCACTTTCTGTTCAAGGAATGTCTTGCTATGATATGCAGTCAGGTGTCAAAGTCTTTGTTGTTTAAAATGTGCAAAATCCTCTTTTGTGGAATAATCATTAGCAGAAAAAATTAATGTCCGTTCCCCTACAGCCTAGAACTGAACCATGGACTATAGATATAGTTTTCAAATATGTACCAAGTTGTCATTGCTCATTTTGGTTCTATGTTACAAGTGTGGCGGCATATGAAAACCCTTCATATGGGTCAAATTTGCATACTGAGATATGCACTAACTTATTCTGATTTAGGACGCCTTTCTGAGTTATTTGCACTTCTTTTATACCAATACCTTCAAATGTTGAAATGTGCAATCCTTCAACTTCCTCTCATACTTGATCAGGCAGACCAGATAACTGGAGCACATGTCTATAATACTATTTGTGACCAAAAGATACAATATAGCCATGTAGTTTTCCAGAAATGACCATAGCTCCCACCATCTAACAAGATTCATGACTCCTTACATATATATTTATTCTATCACTGTTTTACTGATGTGAATCTTTCTCTTTTCAGAATGTTTGCTGCAGGGCTGGCTGGAGATTTTGTGCCAGCTATCATTTGGGACATTGAGAGGTGAATTTCAAATGTTTTTAAAAAATGATTCTCTTGATCAAGGGTCAGCAGCCTGTGGCCTAATAAGTGTTTCTGCTCAACGTACTGCCCCTCTGTTCATTCATTGTAATGTCTAGCCTTTACTGCGACTATCGTATTCATTGTTTCATTCAAAAAAGACATTCCCTGACTAGTTTTGAGCTTAAATCAATCATCAATGTATGCATCTGTGATGAGATGCCAACACCCTTACCTGTATCATCCCACATCATTAATTGTTTGTCTTAAATAATTTGATCACATGTATTTGGCTTAGAAATGCTTGATTCAACAAACAGGCTTAGGCTTAGATGGCCAGCCTGCCATTTGCACCGTTAGAGAGGTCTAGTCTATATTTACTTCTCCTTGTTTATGCTGTGGTTACATTTTCTTTTCTTTTCAATCCAGTGGAAACCGCTTAGGTGACCTTGGAGTAAATCATCGTATGGGAGCAGGTGTCCTTGACCTCATGTTTGAGTCTCCCCATGAGCTCTTGACCTGCGGCTACGACACCTTTTTGAGGATGTGGGACCTGAGGACGATGACATGGTGAAGAAATGTTGTCTCTGTTGTGTACATATCTTTTGTTTTAAATCCTTGAGAAGATATCGGTAGATATATTGTGGATCTACCTGAATGTGCAGACCGTGATGACTTGCCTGCATGATTTTTCTTTCTCTATACATTCACAATGTCCCACCCCATTTCTCGGAAGACATTTAGTGAGAAGTTTCTCTTTACTGGCAGTTGCTGCTCTATCATACATGACTGCAAGAAGGGAGATAACAGTTTCAGGAAGACTCGATGAATCGGCATGGTCTCAACATTTTTAGCCTATAGTTTCTATACTTAATTCACTGGGAGTGGTTTATAATTTGTTGAGTAAAAAAAAGGTATCATGTCGCTAGATAGTTCAGAATTATATTCTTTTGGATACTGCACTGGTTAAACTATACAATTAATACATAATTGTTATGAAAAAACTTTGTGCTTTTATTAATAGTTTAAATAGACAATATATGGCTTTTAAGGAAAAAATATTCACCTATCTTCGTTACCAATCTTTTACATACTCTTGTTTGTTCTGTTGTGGTTTTCTCCTTCTTTCTTTGAATCAAACATCTGTCTTTCTTATATCTCTCCTCCTTATTTTATTTGTATGATACAATATAGTACCACCTCTAATCTTCGGCACTTATATGACCTATTGTGTTGCAAGTGCCATAAAACTCTTCATCATTGCCTTTCTCACCCTGCACCAGGGTAAAGGCCACGGACAAACACCCTCCACTTTTCTCTATCCTGGGCTAGCCTCTTGATGTTTTCCATGTCTTCCCATTTTTCTGTACATCGATTTCTATGGTTCTTCTCCAGGTTCCACGAGGTCTTCCCTTTGATCTCTTGCCCTGTGGGTTCCAATCCAAAACTTTCTTTGTTATGCAGCTGCCTGACTTCCTGAGAGTATGTCCAATCCATCGCCACCGCCTTCTTCCTGCCTCATCTCTGACTGGGATCTGTCTTGTTTTCCTTAACACTTCCACATTGGTGTGACCCTGTCTGCCCATCTGATCCTCAGTAACTTTCTTAGACACCTTAGTAAAACGAAACTAGTTTACATGCAAAATATATTAATACGCTTTCAATCTCTGTTTTTGACATTTGAAAGTGTGCGTCAATGGGAAGAGCCATATGACTCTGCTCTGTACTGCGTCACAACGGATGGTGGCAACTCCATGGCAGTGGGAACAGCCCGGCACGGGATGGTGCGCTTGTGGGATAAAAGAAAATCTGAGCCTGTCCAGGTAAGTGAACCATGGATGCCATCAGCCGGCTGCCATTTTGGTTTTGATATGCTGACCTGCTGGCCTATTTATGGTGATAAGAGGGTTAAGCAGACTCCTCTATATTTGTTGCGGGACGGAAATCTGTGTATTGTTAAGTTATCTTGTCTCTCTCTTTTTATTTGCTTCCGGAGTGCAAGGGTAGGTTCTGTTAATTCTTCAATCTAGGCTGCATCTGATAAATGTGTCTATGGTCAGTTTTCTTTACATAGTGTTTTATTCTTTGCTATTGAAAGTTAAAGCAGTTTTTTATTCATGCATATTGTTTCAACTTGGTACACTAATATTGAATTCCATAGCTTGTTCACTTTCATCTGTAGATTTACTGCTTGAGTGGTTAAAGTTAAATTAAGTAAAGTAGATTAGATCCTGGATGTAGCTCACACTGAAAATAAATTATGCCCCTTGGAGTGGCCAAGTAGAAAATTAGTTGTACCTGTATTGGATATAAGTTGAAAGGTGATTCCATCAGGCAGGGCAAAAAAAGTGAGGACAGTGCTATTTCATACAGTGCAATTTATGTACACAGATTGTGTTTGCTACCCCAACTGTTATGCCACCATGCTGACATAACCTAAAAGTAAAAGTGACTTTTATTTTTTTTCAATTTTTAAATAATGCAAGAAACCTACCGTTGTGTAGATAGATCATGCATTTAGCTCGTTTTAGTGAAGACACCCGAACAGGTCTGTGAAGAACTTAAACTTAAATACCTTGACATGGGAGAGGCTATCATCTGACAGGCCCAGTTGGAGAGCAACAATCACATAGTGCAGCAAATCATATGAGGTTTCACTTAAAATATGGCAGACTGTTGTCTACCTTGAATTGGGTGATACATCGGCTACAGCAGAAGCTGCAAGTCATCTTAGTCAATATTTCTTCTATTTGGCCTAAAACTAAAAGACATGCTCCTCTACAGATGCATTGGTCATCATATGACATTGACAAACTGTTATTAATGAAAATGTGCTAAATTACTGAATGTGAAATTATCTTTTCCCAACAGGTTTACTACAGTCACCAGGTGAACAGCCCCGTGTATGGTCTAGCCATGGATTACGGACATCTCTATCTGGCTTTGGACAAAGGACTAAATGTTATGAACTTCACAATTTAAAATTTGAGATGGGATGAAAGCAGTTTTTAGTTGGCTCTCCATGTGGACTAGTAACCTTGTTTAGGAAAAGAAAAATAGTGGAATGCATTGTCTTACTTAAAATATAGGATTAACACATTACACCCGGGATTGCCCGGGTATTCCCTTACGCGCTCCACCTTGACTTGCCCGGAACCGCCCGCACCGACCTAGCGTCTTTAGAAACGAAGACTCTGGGGCCGAGATTTTGATTTGCAGAGTCATAGCAAAAAGTTTCTTCTTTCGTTTGATACCGAAACGAAATTTTTTGGGCCAGTAGTTTTAGTATTAGAGCTGATCAAAGTATGATCGCGTTACCGACTCTTCGAAAGTGTCTCGACTTGTTGAAAAGCGACACAATTGAGTTAGAAAACGGAAATAACGATGGATTTGAGCAAAAACAAGCATGTGACAAATCAGATGGCTCAGATTTTGATGAAAACGTAGCAAGAGTTTGGGGCGATTCAGATTGATCAGATGTAGAAAGTCTAGAATTTAGATCTAGGGCCCGACCGCGAGAGTGAGAGTGACGGGTCGGACACCACGATTGAACTAAAGGTAGAACATTTCCAACAATTTGCGCATACATAAAGTTATATTTTTCTGAAACTACTTTCAGTTTTCTTTTTAACTTTTATTTTTTCAGGATTTTTGGAATTTGTTTAGTATTTTTAAAATGTGTTTTTTAAATGCTTGTATTCACGGGAGGTGGGTTCCTTCCCCTTGCTTAGGATCTAGGAATGGACTTCCCGTCCAGGCCCTTAGGGTGTACTGTGTTAACAATAGACCTGAAAAGGCCTACAATTTTGTCAAGAATATGGATTTTATTACCTTGTACTTGTATTTCCAAGTTGTTGTTCCATTTTCTTGCCAGAGTGATCATGATGAGAGTAAGCTGCTCTTTTTAATTCAATTAGCTTGAGGACTTTTCATTTGCATTTCTGTGATAGCATCAGTTGTTTGTTTTCTTGTCCATCGTGCTTTAGCTGTGTAATGAAGTAAGAGGAGAAGACTCTAGGCTGGTTGAAGAAAAATACTGATGTTAATGTCTTATCAGAAATTACCATTGTTGTAGGAATGCCAAAATGGTTTTTATCTGACGTTATCTGGATCCTGTATTTGTTGTGGGAATGCCTTCCCTATATTAGAGTTGCAGGATCATCCAGCCTATAAGAATATGGACATTATTGATTTTGCCCTCCAGTTTGCAAGAGTGCATGCTAATCTATTATGTTGCGTCACTTCTCGGTTTGTTTTTTAAGGATTGAGTCAGTGGTTTTTAACTTATCATTTGGGCCGTAGGTCCTCCCATAGCAGTCAAAACCATGTGGTATTATGGAACATCTAAGCTGTTTTCCGCGAGCATAAAAAGGGAAGATAACTTATAGTTTGCTAGTTCCGCACATTCAATGTTTGCCATCATAAATATGGAAAGAAGCAATACATACTACATACACATTGATACTGTTTTCTCATTTGTGTGAACTTTTCATCTTGAGTGATGCATTTAGAAACGTCAGCATGTTATTTCAAATTATATTTCTTGTCTCTGCCACTTACCCCCAAAAACCTATAGCATAGTGGTCTACCAATCATTTAACGATATAATAACTAATAATTATACAGAAATGAAAGTATAGTTTGTTCTTCGATGTGTTGTGAAAAGGGATACGTGTCACAACGCTGTGGAATCAGACGCTCGTCAATTTTTGGGCATGTGGAGTTACTGGTATCATCTGAAAGCTTATTCATTTGCCTCGCTTTCAATGAAAAAATACCCATCCATCTTGAATAGAAGTTTAGATATTTGCAATTGAAGGAGGTGAGGTTGCCTGGTTTCAATGATGAAATTAGTGAGGAAATGGCTGCCAAAGTTTGGTAACTCCAATAGCTAAAGAGTCCTTGTCAAGAGAAAAATGACATATTTTGTGCCTTTAACTTTAATCAACGTTTTTCAGTAAAATTCACATAGGAATGTGTTTTTACATGGACATGAAAGTAAAGGGGTTGAGCAAAAAAAAACAACAAGAATTCGATAAAAATTGCCAGACTGGAAAAATGCCTGTTTTTCCGATTTGGTTATTTTGACGAAAGCCTGATTTCACCACAGTACCTCACATATAGATAATTTGCATAAAGTGGTTTATGAATACCCTCCTGGCATACAAAACCACATTGAGTACAAGTGCTTTACTTTAATAAATGTATGGTGTGTGGTAGCGCATGAAACCTTTCACATATTGTTCCAAGGCACTTGTTCCAACATTATTACTACTGATACTTTTTATGTTTTGCAGTCTTCATTATAAGATACTGACCAGTTTGCTTTTTATCTGTGTCATTATCTCGTTTAAAGGAAATACAATGAAGGCTTATGAGCACCAGATATATATCTGAATAACATAATATGGGTGCAGCTTTTTGAGCTATGGCTCATTTTTTTATTTAAAAAAGAGATCTCACTTCTTTAACATGGAGTTGGGGGTGCTGTTTTTGTTAGTCATACATCAGTTCTGTTTTATTTAAAGATCTAAATTTCACGCTTTTCCCTCCGATGGCTGTGTTGATAAATCTGTTACTTGCTGGACTGTGATGACCAATAGATCTATATAAAGACTTTCACATTTGGACTGAAATGTTGTCTTTCTTATAATTTTGTAAATCTTCTCCATCAGAAGTATGCTTGTAGTGTGATGACTGGCTGCTCGAGAAGAAGAGGGATCTTAAGAGCCACAAGAAGGGATGTGTAAAAGTGTGCTATGGTCTTCCTCAAACTGTGGGAACATGGATACTAAAGGCCCCTTTAAACATGCTGTTGATTCATCAACAAACTAACAGTTTAACCGACAGATGCTAGATTTGGGTCATCGTTGAACTGACAGTTTGTCGACGAGAGAAGTTCTATTAAGACAAACATTTTTTTTGTCCTTATAGTGTCAGTCCTTAGACTGTTGCAGCTAGGTCAAAATGTCAACACAATGGCTGAAGCAAGTTACCAGGATGATTTAGCAGCATTTCTTACTTTAAAATCCAAATAGAAATCTAGAAAGAGGAACATCTGGGCTAAAGAAAGGCTATTAAAAAGAAGTATCTACACACACACACGAACCAAGAGGAAATACGAAATTACGAGCCTACCCGACGGACTTTAATAACTTTTTAACAAATGGTTGAGTCCACATACCTCAGTCATCTACAATTGATCAGACCCATGATTGAGAAACTGTCGACAATGATGAGAGAAGCAATTTCTTCACTTAAAAGACTGACCGCAGCACTTACGCTTTCTTGCTACAGAAGCAAGAAAAAGAAAAAAAAAATTTAACTTGGTATTCCGGCATTAAATTGTGTTCCCCGCAAATTTTTAAAATGCTAAATTTGGGTCACCGATCACGATAATCTTATAATTTTTTTTATTTGGCCGATATTTAGGACATAAAAATTTCTGGTGAAAGCCCTTTTTTGACAAACAGCGACACATCCTTTGCACACCAGTCAAGTTCTTTCCTTGAGTCACGTAACTTCTTTCGTGGTAGGCAAAAGTTGGTCAGCAGTTCTTTCCCTTCTTTAGTTTTAAAGTGGATATGTCATGTTTTTACCAAAAATGTGAATTTAAAGGATATGAATCGGACATATATTTCATCATAAATCAAATATTAACTAAGCTTTACACCATGACATGTTTACTATAAAACAAATTTGCTCAGGGTTATTAAGTAAATGGGTGAAGAACAGAAATCATTTTTCTCACAACCAGAAAACTAGATACGTCTTGTTTTGTCTCGAAATATACAGTCAAACCTGTGTAAAACGGCCACGAATCATCGAGGAGAAAAGTGGCCGGAAAAGACAGGTGGCCGTTATACGTTGGACTGATCAAAATGAAGAAAACAAACTATTTACTCGTACTTCTGAGGTCCCAACTGGAGGTGGTCGCAGGCTTAGGACTACTGTGTAGGGCTCAAAATGTTTCTTGTTGTTTTATTTTCTTTTGAAATTCAAAGGGGAGGGGGGAAGGAGGATAAGAAGGTTTTTGTGGGACTATTTGTTGTTAGTTTTATTATTATTATTATATTTATTTTAAAAGTATGGTTTCGTGAAAGGTTAACTCATTCGGGACGCAACGGAACGTCCGATAGCCTTGAGCTCCTCTGGAGACGCATCGGACGTATACGTCCGATAGCATTTCTCGACGTTTGTATCCGCACAAATGAAGGTATTCCAGGTAACAGTAACAAGCTTTTGGTTGACATTGCTAAGCCATATTTTATTCTGTATTTTTTTGGTTTTGACCGTGTAGGGTCGTTTTTTGTAATTTTCTGTGGCGATTTATGAAGGCAGTCGGGGCGACAAAGAACACAGATCTGTGAGGAGTACCATACAAAGAATGACAATTCACAATGACTGAAACTATTTTTTCACAGTATTTGGACTGTAAATTGTGTTGAGATGTGTGTTTTTAGCTGCGTTATAGTTGTGTATCCAAGCAAATTGGGTTAGATCTAAGGCAAAGTCCAAATGTTGAATGTGTAGATAGTGAATGAAAAGGGGGGAAAATGGCAGACTTTCAAAGTTGACCCAAAATCGCGCGTCTCCCGCTGCAAATCCGGTCCAAAACCTGCGTCCCGAATGAGTTAAAACAAAACTAAATGTGTCAGACTAGGAAGGCCAAGAGCCATCTAGTAAAACAAACAAATGGGTCGCCGCTACTCCACGAACGAGCGACACTTCTGTCGCGAGTTTGCGCTGACTTCCATTGTTATGGACTGTGTTTATGGACTGAGTTGTGGGTGGGGCTTGTAGGTTATGACAGATCACACACTTCCCTTAAAAGCTGCTGAAAATGTATTGTTACCCATTCGCAACCTCAGTGCTTTCTTGTCGTATCTCCTTTTTTTTTTTACATTGAAAATGTGACTTCTTCTTAAAAAGCCAGCTCACTCTTTACTCTTTGTTTCAAACTGTTTTCACTGTTATTAAAAATGGAGATACTAGAAGACAGCACTGAGGTCACGCATTGGTCAGCTTGGGTAAACATTGGGAGCG